ATCGACTACAGACTCATCTAATTGCAGTGAAAAACATCTGCTCATCTTAACGCGCGCTGTCAGCGTACTTTTGATATAATCCTTCATTTCAATAATTCTATGAACGACTGTGTCTTTCAGGGGGGGCAGCAGGTCAAACTGTTCTGCAGCCTTTTCTCCACACATAATAGTGTGGGGCTTACCTGCTTTAGCAATCCGCAAGCTTGCATTTTTCCACGTTTCCGTTTTTATTTCAGTGTTTATTTTAAGTATTTATTTCATGCGCATTGGAGAGAAACACAGGGACGCTCGGTGTATTTTTCTCAAATTAACTTAGAACAGTTCTTAAATATTTTTCTGTTATTTTTCACACTTTCCTGTGCTCACAAGATTACCAGCGTTCGTAGCACTCATTTCTGTGTTTACAACGTTGGCATTGTTCCAAAATCACGCACATTCTCCTTTCTCCCTATTTGCTGGAGATACAGTAGCTTTTTTTAAATACAATTGGTCACTTGCGTCAATAGCACGCATTCCTATAGAGTGGTATAGAATTACAGAGTATCTCTTGTGTCCACTGAAGTATTAGCGCGCACTGTATCGTAGTACGTAGGCTGCATATTCGACACGTATAAAAATACAAAATATGAAAACCCGTCCCAATTTTTTCAGCGCACACAACACAGTTCCAGGGTCATTTGGCGTACCACCTGGCGGCACGCCACGTACCACTGCAGGTACGCGTACCACAGTTTGAGAACCACTGCTCTATGGCATGGAGTGTACTAGTGTCTAGTGTTCTGCAAGAAGGACCATGCTTCCCTATGAAAGTCAACTTGCACTTGGTTATTGTAGGTGGCAAACAGTCTCAGGCTTTGTTACAGAATATGTCTTAAATGCTTGACTAGGTTCAGATCTGGTGACTGAGAAGGCCATGAGGTATGGATAACATCAGTGTCATGCTCAAGCCACTGGGCGAGCACACATGCTCTGTAGATGGGGTATTGTCACCCTGGAAGACACCCCTCCCAGCAGAAATAAAATGCTGCAACATGGTGTAAAGATAATGATCACTCAGTACATTATGTAGCGATTAGCAATGACCTTGCCTTCTAAGGGAAAAGTACCCCCTATCCACGTCAGTTCAATTATGGAACCACCTAATTTTCTGCTGGATTTGTTGAAACCAAGCACTGGTGCCACACATGCATTTGTTGAGAACATGAAAAATTACTCGATTGACCATGTCACATTTCTCCACGATCTCCACTGCTGCGCTCACAGACGAGCACACCCACTGCTATATTAAAACTTGTAGTCAGTTAATCTGCAGCTGCTCATCTGTTTTGTCTTATACTTTAAATTAAGGTACCAATACCTTGATCCTAGAGAATGTGCTTCTGCCCACTGTTGCTCTTTGATAATGTTTTGCCATCAGAGTTTCCATGCTGACATCAACTTAGACATTGCTTTTTGTGAAATACCAGCATATTGAGCTGTCTTTTAGAGTGAAACTCCTGCCAGACAACCCCCCAAAAAGACACCGAGGTCTCCTCTTGCATCCATGCAAGCCACAATTATAGGCAACCAAGTCTGTGTAGTATTTTTATACTTGACCCTAAGCATGCTGGGATGTTAGATGCTTAATTAATACATGAGCCACACCTATGTCCCTAATATGTTCGGTATCCCTCACTTACCTAAGTGTTTCTATCATGTTGTCTACTGTCTGTCCGTGTGTATCAGTATAATGTGGCCCTAATACAAACTGCTTCTACAGTGAAGCGAAGCCAAGATACAAAGTAAAACTCTAGTACTGAACTATGTTTTATCAAATTGGCACAGACGTTTTCTAGCCTCAAACAAATTACCATTTTAAATTCTGAGCAGCATGCTAAACACCTGGATCTAATCTAGTCCTGTTATTTCCACACTTGGAAGCTGGAAATGGCATCTGGCCCAATGGTAAGGCAACCTAAGCGCTGCTAATTAAGCTTGTTTATATGCAAAACTTATCCCATGCATTAAAAAACAGGTAAAAGAAAATTCAAAAGCATCTATGATTGCAAACCTTATATGAGCAAGTTCACTTTTTTGTTTAAGTCTTTCATTAAGTACAGATTTAAAATACATAACAGTTACATATAGTGTTATGGTAAAAATAGACGTTTCTTTGTTATTCTTTTTTTTTTATCATCGGCGCTATCTGACATTTGCTTCGGATTCCCTATGCGCCTGGAAAGGTCAGTGTGCCGGAACTGTCACATCTCTGTGCCGGGGAGCCGGAGCTCTGGGCAGGTTTGCCAAAGGAGAGCCGTGTAGGACACCCATTCCACACATTCCAAGCATTGCTCTTCATACTTGATTAAAACGTCACTTGAACCCATTGAATTACTGGCAGAGGTCAGGACCACCTCTCAAGCGCTTCCTGCGCTCGGCTTGGCAGCGAGAAGAGAGGGTTTGCTGGGCTGGGGGGTGACCATAAGCAGGCAGTGCTAAAAGAAGCTCTGCAGACACCCCGCTGAGAACAGGGCTCCTGATGGCTGTGTTCAAAAGCGAGACAGGATGATGGACAGGATCGCAGAGTATTTTCATCAAAATTAATCGTTTGTGTCGTAATATTAAGCAGACTTCTTTTAATCTAACGATCCAGGTTTCCACAGTTACCACAATACATTAACCGGGCGGAAACAAGCATTTTTTTTTAGGGCAGAGCGGTGGCTCTGTGGCTAAGATCTGCGCCTGTGGCTGGAAGGTTGCCGGTTCAAATCCCGCAGCCGGCAGAGGAATCCTACTCCGTTGGGCTCCTGAGCAAGGCCCTTAACCCCAACTGCTCCAGGGGCGCTGTACAATGGCAGACCCTGCGTTCTGACCCCAGGCTTCTCTCCCTGTCTGTGTGTCTCATGGAGAGTAAGCTCGGGTATGCGAAAAGATAATTCCTAATGCAGGAAATTGTAAAGGGTTAATAAAGTAGTGTTATATATTATATTAACTGGATCTCTTTGCCACCATATACAGTAAACACTGCAAGGTTGGGATTTGTAGCATATCCAAAGTTGTATATTCCACCTGGTTTTAAACGTCCTTAATATTTTTGGGTTTATGCTGTAAATCATTTGCCATTACTAGAATTACAGTGCAACCGTATTCCTCTGGAAATAAGGTCAGAAAGGTAAAAAAACACAGAATCTGTTTAGCTATTCTCAAAATAATGTTAAGGAGAATTTAAGAAGTTCATAAAGACATTTACCAGTAATGTGGTAACTTCCTTGTCTCACCTTTCAATAACAGAAAATGTACTCTTATATAGATAGTAGCCTTCTAGTAACTGAAAAGGCATTTAAATACACATTTACAAACTTGTTTCGATGAAAAATGCTGTCTGATTGATTTTCATTGCTTTGAGGAGCTAAACAATTGTTCTAGATATATATCTGCACTGATGTGTATCTAGTCCAGAGTACGATAGCATTCAGTAATTAAAACTTTGATTAATGGAACATGGGCTAAAAGTAAAAAAAAATTAATTACCACCATCAGCCACAGAGCAGCACATTAAATGAAACTTTCAGAATAACAGTACAGCAGCGCCTGGCTATGTGCATATAAACACACACTATAACAGCACAAGCACCTATGGCTATTGCCCAGTGCTATAAAACCCAGACTGTTCTCATTTATCTTACAAGTATTTGGCTGTGTTAATTGCATAAGGTGCTGGCAAAAAGTCTTTTAAGCAGAGAAAATGTCACACTCCGATGATGAGATTTGGTTCTTTGCCAACAACTTAGGTTAAACCAAACCGCTCTCATGAGAAATCTTAAGAGGTGTTTTTTTTTCGATGATCTGACATGCTGCGTGTTTAATGATTCCAATGCTGAAGTGGATAACCAAGTTAAGTGAATAGCACGGATAACTTTAAAATGACAACAAACCGCACATAGCAAAAACAAAAAGTTACATGTGTATAGAAGAATCAAAATGAGATTTAAGATTAATTTTAACTAAAGCCTTACCTCTTGCATGTTAAATCTGTTTAACAATAAGGAATTACACATGGAAGCCCTACATTCTGCTATATAGCAAGAACATAACTGGGACAAAACTTAAAAGCTTGGGTTCTGATTATCAGTACCTGACGGACTAAAAGATGTTTTCACTCAACATCTTTGCACTAGATATTGTCTCTAGAACAAAACTATAATTTGTGAAAATCAGGTAATCTAGTGTCCTGAGGATACCAAGGGACTTCTGTTACACTGTGCCATTTGTCAAGGAAATGAACTAAGCAAATATCCATCTGGAACACAAACGCCTGGAAGTGATCTTACGATAAAATGCAAGAATCAATCACTTATGTTAGCAACCAGGCTGTTTAAAGATAAAAGACCTAATGGGAGGACAAATACACACCAAATGATCGCTCCAGAGAAGTTTCAGTTTCAGACCCTTTTGTTAAAAAAAAACTAATCTACAAAATGCTTCACATCATGGTTTCCAGATCTTGTATCTTTATATACAACTACAATTTATAACTATGCAGTGGCCAAATCTTTCATATCCCGATCCTTCATAGCAAGCAACGAACATAGAAAATGACAAAAGAGAGATGCCTCTGTTATCATGCCTCATGCGGCTGCAATCTGAAACATCACTTTAAAAATTCAGTTTATTCTTCTTCTGTATCCTGTAACCAGCTCATCTGACTTAATAGTTAGATGTTCAGACAAACAAAAAGTATGTTCAGACTTGGAACACAAGAAAAACGGTTTAGCATAAAACACTGACTTGCATGCTGGCACAAGAAAGTAAGTGTCCTTTTTTGTTGTTATTATACCTGTAATTGGGGGAAAAAGACTGAAGTGAAATTAAACAGGGCCTACATGTGGAGCTTGAGCTGCTTACAGTAAAGAAGGTGGAGCAGACTCACTGCAAGTCCAGCAGTTTTCTAGTCAACAGTGCCTCTGTTAGACAGCACTTGCAGTAGGAGAGTGGGCTGTGAATGGGAATACCCCCCTTACCTGTAATAAAGGAGAGGCGCTGGGGTCAGACGCAAGGGCTTCGTTCTGTACCGTGTTCTGCTGTGTAATGGCATCCTCCCTATTCCGTTCCTTCTGCGCCGCATCGTCGTCATCTAGTTCATCGAGACTCTGAAATCGAACACAAAGGCAGGGAAATTAAACCACTCCAGTCGAAATTCATCCGGAGAGCTCATCAGTTTCCGTGGCTGCACAGAATCACTATTACCTCATTAACCTCCAACTACACATAGTTCAGAACCAAATAATCAGCTTAAGAAATTATTATCCCCAAAGAGGGATTTATGACGTAATTTATAAGATTACCAAAGCACAACAAAAACCTACAGGAATAAGGTCACCGAGTAGCCAGATTTAGTGCACGAAAGCAGTGGGTTTTACACAAGGGGATTTAAAAAAGGGTAGTAAAACAAAAGTTAAACACGAATTTCTACTTTAACAAGGATGTGTGTACCTTTCCACAACACAGCAAGGTTCAGAATTTGACGACCTTTGCAATGTTGGATTTTTAAAATGTCACTCGGACTATTTCTCAACGATATTTACTCTTTCAGTATAAGATGCTGTTGAGAATTCATTAATTCTCATATGGTAAGGTATGTGCAAGGATAGGAAAAATACTTCAGGATTTGGCTATTTTATAGCCAAAAAGCACATCGCACATTTTACACCTGCAAAATATTAACTATAAATAATAAAATGTGATTTAGCTCTATTCAGGTAACATATTACCCACTTCTTTCAAACCTTGACACGTATTTGTAATTCTATCATTTTGCAGAATTTCTTAAGAGTCACTTTCTTTCCAGTGGAATGGATATGTGTTGTAATCAAAATTGTGTTTATTACAGAGCATATAATTAAGACTATACAGTAAACAGTCCTCAGTGAGTATGCAACAATAAAAATATCTCAATGAGTCAATATAAATGCAGTTTTATATACAAGATTGAGATTATACATCACTAACATTGGTCTTTTTTCATCTGTGTTTCCTTAAGAGGTGAACTACAAACAAGAGCTTTAATGAGGTGACTGCTCAGCACTGGAATATGAAACAGATGTTAAAATTAACTAGAGACAAGAAATACCCTCACAAGCACACACAAAATCAGTTTATCTCAAATGGAACTACCGTCAAATAAAATATAAAGTTCTGTTAACACGTGAAAGACAAAAATAACCTTACAAGGGCAAAAGGAATGAAACAATTTGCAATGCTTTTCCTGCCAAAATGATTATCAACGCCCCTGGGAAACAAGATTTTTTTTTCTTCTTAACATACCAAGAGCTGCTGTACTATTATTGCTAATCTTGTTTGCCAAATTCTCACAGCGGAAAGCACGTTCCAGGACCCAGCAATCCCTCCTTCAGAGGCACACTGACAGTTGTAGGGAACAGACACCCCAATTTGCAACTGCTTATCTGACCCCAGAAAACACAATGACATTTGATATGGCTATGGCAAAAACAGATGCTATTCCTCTCTGTCTTCACAAATCTTTATTGCATATTAAAAAGGTATAAATTAAAATCATTCACATCATTAAGCACACTTCCATTACTTTAGCTTATTTAATTAGTAACCATCTGTCTTACTATTAATTGTGAGGTATATTAGCATATTTAGTATAGATTTGCAATATGTAACACTTACATTTAACATCTAAATGACTAGTGTATTAAATTGCATGCAGTTTTTATTTTTATTGATATTAGTTTTTCATACTTGAACTTTTAACAGGCTGTTCATTACATGAAAAGGGCAGATGATTGGTTCACAAATCCCATATACACCATTACAGAGAAATGCTAAAATAGTATACAAAAAAGAAATATTGTTTTCACTATTCAAAGATAATCCAGAGATTGATGGGTCTGATTTTAATGCAAAGAAACAAAACAAAATTTCCAACACTAAACATTAAAGCCCCACTCACACTTTCAATTTCAATTTCGGTTGGTTATTGGACACCACAAGGCCTCCTTTTACCAAATATGAACACCTAAAAACTGAAAAGGTAAGTGACTGTGTGCAGAGCCAGTAAAGGCCTAACATACATGTGTACACATAGCTGGCTCTGGTAGGCCTTTCAGCTTCTAGCTTACTAATGTGAACACACATGTAACTACCCATAAAATCTCCAGAAAGTAGACACTGGCAATAATGGTACTGTTGCACATAAAAAAATCAAGAGCTCACCAAGTTCAAAATGTCTGTTTTAATAATGATCAGCTGTTTAAATACTGTCTTTAGCCATAGTAGTAGTTAACTTTACAGATTGTACAGGTTCTTCATATATCAGTAAATTTAGTCACTTAGCGATTTTAAACAGGAGTGACAGTATGAACTACCTGACGTGCAGATTCTCGAAAACAGATTTAGAAGGCTCACTTGGTGATAGCGGTGGCCAGAACGTATTTGCAGTTGAACGGAAAATATGTGCTGTTGTAAAAGGCTGCGTGGAAGTTTTCCTGTGAAACTATCAGTACGTGTGTTCGACCAACCGTAGAAATGAAAACTGTTCAAAATGGCAGTGAGCTGTCGCAATTGATATTAAACATGATCGGTAACTGTGTACCTTTATGAAAATAACATATGTCTGTGCAGCTGTATCCAGATAAATATCCTGTGGCAACCAGTATACAACAATGCTTACCCGTACTTATGCATTGTTCGACAGTATACTTAATGTAATAAAGTAACACAGAATAAGTGTTCTGCAAATGAAATCTATTCCTTCATATGTCACTTACAAATATAGTATACATTATGCATATCATATAGTATTACTATAGGAAGTACAGCAACAAAATCGTGATGCAAGTCTTCTCACCTCTACTGGTCATGTCATTTTGCCGTTCAATAGATTTGTGTTTGTTACACGCTTACGTTGCCAAAAAGCAGTTATATCTTTTTTGATCACAAGTTTGAACACACTGGGCTACCTTTAACCTCAAACATGAATGATTAAAAATGCAGATCTAAATTTAAGGTGGTAGAGGGTAGAAGTGTGAAGGGTCGTGCACAATTACCCCAACATCACTTCTGCTATATCACCAAACCAGCCAATGAAAGTTAAAGCAGGACACGGGCTCTTGACTTCCTGCAATTTTCAGAAGATGAAACCCTCATGAAACAAACCCTTAGGACAGCCAAATCCTGAAAATAAGCAACCGATTTAAAGATCTGTATTTCTTCCTGTTTATAAGCTCCCAGTAACACAAATAGCCCCCAAATACATGGCTGTTTATGTTTTATGTTAATGCCTGGGTTTGGAAAACCTAATTTTAGTTTAAAAATATTTTTTTTCCAGGAAATATCGCTAAGCCTGTGTTTTCTGTCATTGAAGATATATGTAAAAAAAAGCTGACAATTTAGTACATGAATTCCAGAACAGTCCCATTCAACAAGAGTCCAGAACCTCCCATCTTTTGTAAGGATGTGGACAAATACAAACTGGGAAGGGCAGTGAGTGAATTTAATGTCCCACTCCCAATGCCTGCTTCCCTGGGTTAATAATACTTCTGTCTCAAGGGTTCACTGCTGTTAGTTTAAGAAAACCAACATAACTATTGTTAGAATCAGCTCTATTTATATAAACAAAGATAGTTTAAATATTCGTGATTAAAAAAAGCATTTGCAAGATATTATTAAAACCAGCAATAAAAGAGACTATTTCCACTGGTTAATTAAATCCTCCCTCTATTTCACAGATAAACACACATACAGATAGAGTATTGTCTATCTTAGGGGAAAAATACATTTAAATATTTATTCATATCAAATTTTGCTTGGAGCATAAAGACATGGTAATGTTATTGCAATATCAAACCCCACACATTTTGGAGAATTCAATTAAAATGTAATTAGGTATTGCTTTCCTAAGGAAAACTTTTAAGATACACCTTAATTGCAGATTGAGTTTTGACTCTGCTTTGATGAACTAAATGAAGAAAATCAACAACAAAAGTTAAAAACAGAAAAGAGCAAAGCATAAAACCCCTCAAATCTATTTACAAATCCCTCCCCTAAGAAAAATAATGAACACAAAAGAAACCCAGCCCTTCCCAACGAAAAACACTGCACACGGTACTTAAAAGTAAAAGACCAATTCTCTATTCATACCCTCACATAAAACTGGCAAAACCCGCATAACCTTGTCAACAAAGTTAATAATAGAACACTACCAGCACTGTCAAAAAAGTCAATTGCTGATTAAAAGCACACCTATAGTCTTACACAAACAAAATTCATTGATTCCATTAGTCCTCCCATTTCGGCACAAGAATCAATATTGTGAACACCTCAGCTGCACTAAGACAACTACGCCGATCACCGCACAACCTGTAGTGTAAACTTGCAGGAACTTCACACTCCTTTTCCCTTGTGCCATTTGAACGACTGAATGGCTGGGCCTAGTAGTTGAGGGGTATCGGTAAAAAGCACGTCCTGTTTTGTACAGTTAACAGAGCTGTGAAAAATTAACAGTAACTGCAAGCTCCAATTAGCACACACGCTGGCTTTCTTCCAGGATCGTGGGTTATTACGAGCATCGAAATGTGTCTGCGTCAAGAACAATTAATTTGTAGATTTATTGCAAAACAATGAAAGGCCACTTTAGATCACCAATCCTGGGGAAAGCTAGTTTATTGCATCGCAATCCTAATAACTCGTGTTTATAAATCACACAGTAGTTAAATGAGAGTAGTAACTTCATTTAAATGATGTATTATCACTGTGGGGATTAAAAGCTTCAGTGAACTGCTGTCCTCACTTCATCTGAACAGTGATGCTGCTTGGAATCTTTTGACAACAAAAGTTTCAGTACGAAAAACTGATACTGATCTTCTGGTTTCGATGTTTAACTCCACAACCTTCACTAGACAAATTGCACTCAACCCTACGTTGGAAAAGGGCACTTTGTACTCCAGACACCTGAAGCCTCATGGAAGACACAGTCAGGACAGGTTTAAAACATACCATCAACAACATTTTCCTAATTTGGAGAGGCCTTTCACACTGTTCTGCGATTATACGCATGACTATTTGGTAGGCCTAGATCATAACTTCCTCCTCACTTTCCAAGGAAAAGAAAAAGGAAGTTTCA